TATTCAAATTTTTGTATTCTTATAGTCAAAATTCTTATGTGTCTAATGTTACAACATATATACAATCTTCATAAAACAAACATACAATGATTTGTTTTTTAAATTTTCTGTGAGATTATGACAAAAGTTTGAATTAAACACCAATGATTTAATATTTATTTTTAGTAATGATTTTTAAAGATGCAATTATTTGTTATATTTTATTGGGCTGTGCATGGGTGTGCCTGAGTATGTATGTGTAACACATGAGTGCAGGAGAGGGCCTTGGATCCCCTGGACCTGGAATTACAGATTGTTGTGAGCTCCCTGATGTGGGTGTCAGGAACTGAGACTGGGTCTTCTGTAAGAATGGTAAGTGCTCTTAACCACTGAGTCACCTCTGTAGCCCATGCATGATTATTCTTGAATCCTTCTGGTGACCACTTTGCATCTGTCATTTAGCACATATTCTCATTTTTTCCAGTTGGAAGTCAGCCATGGAAACGATGAGGTAGCTTTTCAAAGTCATTCTAAGGAATGATTGAACCAAGATCCACACCTAGGGAATCTCACCTTAATGACACATGATGGATTGAGCTTCTCCTGCTTAGCAAAAATTCATTTCTCAAGTTGGCCACAGGTGAGAAAATGCTGCACAACACAACACTAAATCTTTGGAAAGGGAATATGACAACATTTGAAAATTTTACAATTTTCAATATAAACTCCACCATAATATTATTTTTAGTAAAAAATCAATAGCAGAGAATATGAGGCTTATAATGCCTCTTAAAAACTATTCTATTTCATTATTTATTCATAGTTAGAAATCAATCAAAGAGTTGTACCATGTGTTTATGTGAATGTGATAGTGCTGGAGGCATAAAGCCACCTCTCCATACTGCTGTAATGAAGTGAACACGAAAAGTGCCTGTTTCACCACTGATACTCAAAATGTGATTTTGAGGAATATGAATGAATACCATGTGATGATGTTATAACTTAGGAAAGATGAAACAATTTCATAGAAATGTGAGGTGAATGCAATGAGTGACCTTGGAGGCCTTTCCTAGGAGAGTTGGAGGCTCTTGGTCACAGGAAGCCATGATGAGGCTCTGAGAGGGGCAGCATTAGGAGAGAAAAACTACAGAGTATGGCATGCTGAGGGTCCTGAGGAAAGACACACCTTGCAGTTCCAAAAACATCAGGTGAGTAACACCTTCACAGCACAGGTAGTATGATGGTCTCTTGAAGGGAGAGAGAACCTTCAATCCCATAAGACAAAGGCGCTCTCTGACAGGTTTCCAAGGAGATGGAAAAGTTCCATACCATTTGACCTTAGCCTATAGACTGGAGGCCACAAGGCATTTTATTATTTATTTATTTATCTATTTATTTATTTATTTATTTGTTTGTTTATTATGTTTTTGCCTTTCTGAGACAGGGTCTTCCTGTAGCCCCAGTTACCCTGGTACTTGCTAATAGCCCATGCTGGCTTAGATCTCACAGAGATTCATCTGCCTTTGCCTCTGGAGTGCAGGGATTAAAGGCATGTGTCACTCTGCCTGGTTTTAACAGGACATTTTTAAAGAAAAACTCTAACTCTTGATTGTTTTGGAGCTACAAGGGGGAAGGAGACTGCAGGGCAAAATTAAGCTTCATCAACTCTCTGTCCAAGAAATAGTTTCAAGAGGGCATATCCTGATTGTAAGACAAAGACAGACTGTGGAGTGGCTGTGACCCTTACATAACAGGCTTTCCATTTATGTAAAAAATGACATTATAGAACAAAAGTTAAAGAAAGATAGGATCCAAAGATTTCTAGATTGTCCTATATTCTAAGTATGCAGGACTGACCTGGGGTATTGTAAATATTATTAATTAATGAACAAAATATTACATGCTCTTTTAATTTATTTTTAAGTTAACCAATTAATTTACTATTTTACTTGCATGCCTGCATATATGTACTTGCATCATATGTGTGAAATGCCTGCTCAGGATAGAGTTGGAGGTTAGATCCCCTAGAACTGAAGGTACACACAGTTATTACCCAACATGTGAGTGTTTTGAAGCCATCCCAAGTCTTCTGCAACAGCAGCCAGTGCTCTTAACTACTGAGCCACAACTTGAGACCTGTTAGCTAATATTTAAATTATAACTAGTATATAACATAAAGCTTAAATGAAACTATAAAGCAAATAATAAAAATTATAAATTGTGAAAATATCTATTCATATGATTATTACCTAAAATATTCTTAATATCTGTTCAAGATGAGATAATTCAGAAATTACCAAAGCAATGATGTGAATTTTAGCGTGTTCTCACTTGAACAGAAAAAGATTTTGTAATCCTGAATGATCTTTTTTGTCTGTCCATATTTCTGTGTTTTTGAAGCCAGTTGTGTTTTACAGTTTCTTAGTTTATACTCACTGTCATGAGTCTTCCTAATAGATGACAATACTGTGAAGTTAATATGTACATCTCGATTTCAAGGATAGCACTAACCACTGTTTCTGTTTTTCTAGGAATCTGACATTAAAGGATTAATCACATTAATAAATGTTTAAGTTTCCTAATAGCCTTTCAAAAGTACATGGCTTACTTATACAGTGGCTCTCCTCCAGTAGTACTCAAAGCACCAGCAGCAGCTCCTAGGAGACTTGGAGGCACTGGGCATCCTAATGTAACCTGATACTTCATGTATCAATGTTTCTGAGTGTGAGGCTCAGGTCCCTGAGAGGTCACCTGCTCTCCAGCAGATTCTCGGGTCGGATAAGAAGTGAGAACCACTAAGCTGGAGACAGCATACCCCAAACTCACCACCTCCCTCTCCCATTACCTGACTTCTAATGGCTCATGTCTCAGGGGATAGAAAGAAAATGGGGAATTCTGTTCATTAAATTCAGGCTTTCATTTGAAATGATCCCACTTGCCCAGAGAAACCATGATGCAAACAGGGTGTCCCCAAGTGATGTAATAATTTTGAAAATCTCTGACTATAACCAGGAATTGTCAAAACTTGCCAATCAGCCTGGAGCAATACCTGCATACTAAGACATCTGGGGTGAGTTTTTGAATCATGAATCAGGAAAGGATTCCATGGAAATTCTGACAGCTCTATACATCCTTCAAATAATATTTACAAAGATAGGAATATGATTCCATGCTGTAAGGAAGCCTACCTTACTGAAAAGTAAAGAAAAACTAAGTCTGTACATTTATTTCATATAACCATGTTAAATATGAGGAAGGTTTAATAAAAAAATATATTGTTAAAAAATAATGTTTTATACATATGCTTATTCTAAAACCAAGTCCCATACTCCCTGCTCTGAAGAGGAAAGACAAGACCCTGATGGAATACTTTCACTGTAGATGTGGCCACTCTCCCAATGTCCCTACATCTTTATATACGTGGATATGAAGTTTACATGAGAGACATGGTATGAATGTCAAGGACCCTCACATTTCAATTTTCTTTCAGTATTTTGAAAAAATGTTCAACTTCCTTTCTGTATAGACTCATAAATTGTGAAGGACTCTAGCATGCTATGCAACTTGTAAAAATGAATCTAAACAATAATTCACATAACTCATTTCCATGTCTGTATGTAAATGAGTAGAAACATGAAAGATTAAAATGTTAAATGTTAAAAATTATTTATAAAGTACACTGCTATTCATAAATTCAAGGGAAAATTGGACAGAAAAAAATAACTTGGAATTAGAGAATTCATTATGTAGCTTTGGTCTCAGTCACACAAGGTTTGCATTTTGTGTTTAGATATTTTGTTAGGAATAAATAGGCAACAGAATATTATGGAAGTATAAATATGAGATTTCAGTACCCAGAATAGATGCTGATATTATGAAGTATTTATTTAAAAATATATGCTGATATTTTCAAGTGTGACAAAAAATTCAAATACTCAGTTAGATATCTATTCTTCGCCTCTCCTTTCCTCTCCCCCCACCTCTCTGTCTCCTTCTCTGAGTCACCCGAATGTTGGGATTAAGGCTTCTGTCACCACAGTTGGACCAAATACAGATGTTGTCTCTAAATCAAACAATGAACTGTGAGTAGGCAATAGTGCCCAGACGTCAGGCTAAGCCTCTGCAAATGAATGCGTGAGAAGGGAACATTGATTGTGCTATCCCCAGGAGGGTGACATGAGATGGACAAAATGGCTATCTCAGGTTTACAAGGCATGAGGAAGATCTGCCCTTGAGAAAGAGGATTCTACCAGACATCCATTTAAACTGATGAGTGACCTGGACACAAGGAAACATGAGATTCCATAAGGCAAATAAAACAATCAGAGCACAAGTAAATGGTCTTCTGTACCTTCTGCCAAGACCACAAATGTCACATGGAAGAGTGAGCATCAACACTGGCTTCTGATTAGCCTTCACATGCCAGGGGGCATTTTGGAGAGGGGAGAATGAATGGTCATCTCCATCAAACAAAGATATAACTGTGGATCAGGAAATACTGTCTTCTCTGTTATGACAAAGGGAGACCCCCATGAATCTCATCTACTTCTGAGGTCACACACTGCAGATGTGAATCCTTTCCTTCCAATCTTAACCCACTTCTCACATTTTTTATTTCTTTTCAACCGTGGCTACTTTAGAGGGTGTTCAGAAATTGTTCCACCGCTGTAGCTGAGCAAGGCATGTAAATAGGAGTTATGCCCATTGGACGACCAAGAGAAATTCCTAAACACCAGATGATTGGTACTGGACATAAGAAGGGAAATACCTAACCTGAGATAAGTATGTAGGCACTGTGTGAGTATACAAGCCCGTATGTGTTCCTTGGCAGGAGTATTCTTGCTTTGATTTCGATCTCAGATCCATTGGCTATGATTGGTGAGGGAAAAGAGAAGCACAACCCATTTAGCCCCTGGGGGGTCGGGGGTCAAAAGCTTCTTACTGTGTTGCCCATGTTGTCTGCTAGAAAGGACACTGATATGAAATCTCTCTTGGGAGTTATTGTTGAAGTTCAAAAGTTTTTCTTTCTTTACAGGGTCATATTGAGCTGCTTAAATTCAGTGCACTGCACAAATGTATTGGAGCCAAAGTTCACAATTCTTTCACCAATAGCCCAGCACTGTATTCCTACTGCTGATTCACAGTAATGGGTTTTGCCAGTGGAAGGAGAAGAAATATTTTTATGAAGTAAATCAGCTTTTTTCTGAGACGGTGTTGCTAAATTGATGTCAGGCTCATCCTTCTGATTCAGCTAGTTTTCTACTAAAATGCTGAGCCCTAAATACTTAAGAATCTCAGGTTTATCCTTTAAACATCACATAAAGTGCACAACTGATAAACTACACAGATTCTCTGCCATTAGTTGATGAAGCGATCACTGCTAATTAAAGCTATACTTGGTTGTGCTTTCTTTGTGTTTCATTTCACGTTTTTATTTTCCAGCTGCTTCCACAATTTCTATTTTCAACATGATTGCGAGAAACATAACCACAGTGAGTGGCTTCTGCCTCCTGGGGTTCTCTGACAAGAGGGAGATGCAACTATTACATGCTTGGCTCTTCTTGCTGATGTACCTGTTGGGCTTGGCAGGCAACTTCATCATCATCAACATCACAACACTGGACCCACAGCTCCAATCTCCAATGTGTTACTTCCTGAAACACCTTTCCCTTCTTGACCTCTCCTCCCTGTCTGTCACTGTTCCCCAGTCTATCCACAATTCTCTGACTGGCAGTGGATACATTTCTTATGACCAGTGTGTGCTGCAGGTTTTCTTCTTGATATCCTTAGGTGGCACTGAGGTTGCCATTCTCACAGTGATGTCCTATGACCGCTATGTGGCTGTCTGTCTCCCACTGCACTATGAGATCATCATTAGCCCCAGAATATGCAAGTTGGGTGTGACATTTGTGTGGATAAGTGGAGGCATTCCAGGAACCTTGTACACAACAACCACATTCTCTATGAGATTTTGCAGGGCCAAAATAATCCACCAGTTCTTCTGTGATGTCCCCCAGTTGCTCAAGCTCTCCTGCTCCAATGATTACCTTGGAGTGACTGGAGCAGTTGCTTTCATGGCTGTGGTGGGAACTGCTTGCTTTACTGCCATTTGCTTCTCCTACATCCAGATATTCTCCACAGTCCTCAAGATGCCCTCTGCTGAAGGCTGGTCTAAGGTCTTCTCCACGTGCCTGCCCCATCTCTGCGTGGTCACATTTTATATTTCCACTGGTATCTTTGCGTATCTGAAGCAACCTTCAGACTCTCCAACTGCTTTAGACCTCATCACCTCTATGTTTTACACAGTAGTTTCCCCAACCCTCAACCCTGTTATCTACTGTCTGAGGAATGAGGCCATGAAATCAGCTGCAAGAAAGTTACTGTTAAGGTACAGATTCCCTAGAGGAAGTTTAGTTTGGTCTTGTTCATAGATGGCAAAAATTTACAAAAGATTTTTTTTTGTAAATGGAATGTCAATATCTTTTACTAGCGGTATGCACTAATCTCTTTTCTGTAAATC